GAAGGCTGGACTCGAACTGCTGAAGCGTCGACCATTTCTGGCCGGCAACTTTCAGCGTCATTAAGCCGCTGCGCCACCGCGTCCCCCTTTGTATGTAAGATATGTAAGATTAAAAAAACACAAAACATGGGCTAACAAACCTTTGTTCACAGAACAGATTAAGCAGACATGACTTACAGCATGTCATATTAACTCAGCTGTTAATTCACACATTCTACAGCATAATGTTTGTAAGCCACAAATTATGGCATTAATGTAGGCAATTTTTGTTTATTCACCTAAACATGGTTAAACAAACCATGTTTAGTATGATGTATGAACCCAATCAAAATGTACATCCATGAACCCCCATGCACGTGTTATAATTACTGGAAACTAATTTCAGGATTGTTTTAAATTAATTTATTGTGTCATGGGACTCATTCATACAGCCATGTTGATGTGGTTTCACCCACAGGAGGAAAGTAATAGAACTACTGTCCTCACAGGCTACTTGTTATTGCACCTCAGCAGTGAGGTTGGTAGAGTTGCTCCCTCTATAGAAAGTAACACAAGTTAATTTCAGGGCAGTGACTGATTCTCCTCTTCCCTGAGAAAAAATAATAGGAAAACTGAAGGAACTGCAGAGTGGAACAGAGAACTCCCAAGGTGGGAGCTGATCAAACTAGATTGAAATAGTCCAGAAACAAAAGAGTTTGCAAGGAAGGAAACTTCCAAAGATATTCAGGATATGGGAAAAAATGCACGAACAATTTAAGGGATGCCCTGAAATACCTATTCTTGCCACCAAAATTCTGTCCTTGTCTCACTTGACTTTGGCAGAGGTTGGATGGAGATGCAGCTTAATGTTCCCAACCGCTATTTTGGCAGTTTTTATAGATCAATGCTTGCTAGAAAATCAATGCCCAGTCACTTCTCCCTTTTCCCCCAAATTGAGAGAGGGAAACAGGAAAAAAGGGCAGGGAAGAAAATGCTTCTATACTGAGAACACTGTAGTAAAACACACATGCCCTGCACTGAGGGGCAAAATAGGGATGAACTGGTGGCATTCCTACCTGGAATGTTGCCACCGAAGCAAACGTGACTATTTTAATGCACGCACACTTCCAAAATCAAGTTTGCTCATAATGCAGCATGGCTCTTCTATTCTGCTGAGGTCCCAAATGCTGTCATGGGTAATGGGAAGAGGCAGCAGCAGTAGGCTACCCTGCAAGGTGTGGTTGGGAGCCACATCTCCTGCCATCAGCACATCTTATGAAGGAGGAGTTTACCAATGAGAACACTGACCTTGCAGTGTACCTGCATTTGCTCTTCCATGGATCTTCCCCTGATATACAAAAAGGCCACAGATGAGCAAGGGGACTATCCAGGTCCTGGGGCAGGGGACAAGGACTACTGAGCCCAGCAAACGGATGGGAGGGGCAGTCCTGCAAACAGGCCAACTGGAGCCCTGCAGGCGCCGGACAACTCCTCCCTCCATGCCACAGAGAGCGTCGGCATGGAAGCGTTTCTTCCATCTTGTCAAGGAAAGCGCTCTTTCCTTGTGGGAATGCTTAGGACCGGCTTCAGCCCGCCTCTGCGGTGGGATGACAACGAGATGGAGGCTACGCTGTGAAGACACGTCCTCAATGAACATTATGCAGAGCGTCTTCCAGGTGGGGCAAAGGCGGCTGTGCAGACGAGCCCACAGAAAGCTCGACGGGATGGTAAACCGACGGCAGTGGACACTCAAGGACGGGGATCTTTTTGGTCACGATTCTCGGGTGGACGCAGCTACCTCGGGGTAACTTCCGAGTAAAACACGGAAGAGGAGCCCTACAATAATGGCCCGTCTCGGCTTGGTTCTCACCGGTAATGGCCCCGAAGCGCCCCGCAAGCCAGATCTTACGGACACAGTTCGTGCCGTC